TTGGTTTCTCCATATGGGTGGACCAGGTCACCAGTGAAGACTGTACTTTGTTTCTTGATTCATTCCATCTTCCTCTTGGTTTTAAGATATGCTTTGCAGTGGTGGTCGTTGTCTTGATGCCCAGTTTTGAGTTCCACATTGCACTGATCAGAAGCTGTTTTCCAAAATAGCCTTGCAGTGAAAATGTAACTAGGTTATATCAGGCTACTAGTTAAATTTTATTTAACATCGGTGGCAAGCCAAGAGATTTAGAGAGCTGAGCATGTGTGGAACCCATAGTTCTGCTTGGCTAACTCCAAGCAGGAGATTTCTGGGGATAAGCCATCTGCTTGTTCAGATTTTGACCAGATGAAGTGGACTGTCATTTCCCCCCCTCAATATCATTAGTTGCTTGCGTCATTTAAAACCCCTGGGCTGGAATCTTTTGTCAGCACAGGTGGAGTGTGAGGCTCTCCCCCAGATATTTCAGGATATCCTACAGCTTGCTCATCTACAAGCTGGAGAGTAGAGCTCAGTTGGTTTCAACCAGGAAGTACCACATCGTTTTTTCAGATGCCCACTCATGCTGTGGCATGTTGAATGAGCAAAACAGGCCAGTCGGATTCTGCCTCTAGTCATACGTGTGTTTCACTCATTGTGTGCTTTATCACCTTAACTAAACACTGTCGCATTCCTTCACAATCTGCAGTTGCTTACTTTGGATAAAGGCCTTGACCATCACTTCTGAGTTGCTGTTGGTCTAGAGGTCTTAAGGAGACGTTGTATGCAGGCTTGCCTAGTATTCAAAAATATAGTCGGTTTGAGGAAACAGGTCTTTGTCGTAGAGATCCTCCGGTGTCCCAGCTTCTTCTGACTGTTTGCTTCCAGTTCAAGGGTGGCCATGCCCAATGCTTGATGGATTCAGACACCTAATCAGGGAGAAATCTCTGCCATTTTATTCCTTCTAATTTCTCCTCCTTAGAACCTTAATGGACAGATTTCCACCCACATCTTAAATTACAGGCCAGAGTTTGCAGACTTAATCTGGCTGAGATCAGGCTTTTCATCTCTTGTACACGGCAAGGTCTTGCTTTTATGCAGTTACAGACGCGTTTCCTTGACTGAACAGGAGAGCAAAAGGTGAGCATTGTTTAAAAGAGATTACCAGAAAAGAAAAAAAAGAATTGAAGATTCACCTTCATGTTCCCATGAAATTTAGGTCTTTGTTGAAAAGGGCTTTTCCCCTCCTTTTAGTCAAGAGGTCTTTAATGAGGGTTTGCCAGGATACGTCCTCTGAGGTCAGGTCTGAGCTACTGGCAAGCTGAGAAGGAAATATGTTCTCTGAATAATTCACTTAGGACTTCAACCTCTTATACGGCATTGCTTTACAAAAAGGGCTTTGCAATTCTGGGAATCTCTAGGTGTCCTTTCAGTGAAACACCTAAAAAGCCTTCTGTGGGCACGCTTACGATAACAAGAGTCACCCCGAGTAGACATTGTCTAGAGGGGCGGGGTAAAAATCCAATCAATCAATCAATCAATCAATCGTCGTGCTGGATGAGACCAAAAGTTGGGCTGGTCCAAGGTTTTTTTCACACAGTGGCCGTCTGGATTCTGTGGGAGCCACCAAGCAGAACATCAGCCTGTTACTAATACTTTGGTTCAACCATCAACCCAAGCAGAGGCTGTAGCCAAGGAATCAAAAGAAGGCTCAAATGAGGAAAGGTAGCAGAGATGGAACTAGAAAAGATGATCCTGTGTCAGGACGGGTCACTGGAGACCAAGTGTGGCCAAGACCATCCACACTCTTGTCTTTCCAGTCACCGTGTATAAGTGAAAGCTGGACAGTGAAGGAAACTGATGGGGGAGCGGGGAAATAACTCATTTGAAATGTTTAGCTAGTTAGTTATTTAGTTAGCAAATTCCATAGATCAATGCTGTGTTGTCGAAGAATACGGCTCCTTTCATGCTTGGATGCATTTTTTCTTTCCCGTTCAGGTTTAGTTATCCCAGTTTTGTTTACATTTATTCATTAGCAATTTAATGTCGAATGCCTCATGGTGGGAGGCTGTCCGGGTGGGGAAGAGCAGAGAGAAAATGTTGGGGATCATTAGGGTCTATTAGCCACTGCTGTTCATCAGTCTTGGCAACGAGGGCAGCCCATCAGTTCTGGACCGGTGGCCCTGAGAGGAAGAAAACATCATTAGCGGTTAGAAAGGCATCTCTTTTTTTGGGTCAGGTCTTAATGGGTAAGAACTCCCTTGCGCTGTTCTTTGCCAAGGAGTGCTCCCAACCCAGACCCGTTCCAGCGTGACCTCGTGCAAACAAACAGTCATGGCGATCCTTTAGAGATCGGGGTGACCTCACCCCAGCAGGGGTAGCCAGCTCTCGGTGGAATCACCCCCTGTCCCCACCCCAAGAGCCATCTTGCAGATGGCTCGCCCCTCTGGAGCAATTTGCCAATTGCAAATGTTTCCCCGAACATTTAGCTTTCTCTCTCTTCTTTTTAGCCATGCTGAAGCTCCCGGCCATCAGCCGGTGTTAACGCTTTCTGCAAAGCAGCTGGGGGGGGGGGAGGGTTTGATTTGTGTAAAAATTGGGAGGAGCCACGAACTGTGTATGTCCAAGTGTGAGCATTGGTGGGTGAAGGTTTAAGACGTTGGATGAGTGACTTCCCCACCCCTTTTTTTGGACTAGAGCTGCCCTGACCAAGCTGGCCAGGGAATTTCAGGGCATGGCATTGCTATTAATACAGAGTCTATACCTAGCAGTTGCAGTTGTGTCACCCACCTTTACTTACTGAGCTCAAGGCAGTGTACGTGGCCTTTTGACAAATGCAGAGCAGATCTCTGGATCTAGAAGTACTCGGATCACTGCAGGTCACCAGTTCTTGTAGCCACCTGCGTGTGTCCAGGGCAGCCCATTCCAAAAGATTTTGCTACCCCATCTCAGGGTGCACCTCATTGGAAATACAGGAGGTGAACTGGAACATCCTATAATTCACTGTCGTGTTTGTGCTGGGTGGTTTCCCCCACCATCTCTGCTTTTCTTGATTCCAAACACTACTTGTGGTTTGCCAGAGCCTCCACCTTCTTCCAACGCAAGACTTTGCTGTAGCCAAAATATGCACCTTTGATTGATTTCACATCCAGGGGCGTATTGTGGCAGTTCAAGGACAGTGGGCTATCTCAAGCATGATCACCTTTTTTATTAGAGAGCATAACCCAAGGTTCTGGTTGCTTGATGAATTTCTGACTAGCGCTGCCAATGAGAGATCACACCGACATTTGAGGGAGGAAGAAACCATTGTTTACCATTGTTTTTTTCTTGGCTTACTTTCCTTTCAGATGGCATCCATATGTTGCTCAGAAAAGATGCTCCATGCTCTCTCAAACCTGCGGGAATTCATTCCCTAAGAACATAGTTACCATTTGTAACGTCTACAAATATTTGCATTAAAACATTCCCAATGGGACCCTCAGAGGTGTGTTTCAAGGCTGCAGCCTTACCGTGTAATTCCACACAAGGGCTTGGCAGTAACTCTGTTCACGTCCAGTGGTTGAGGGTGGTAGCCTTCATCAGCTGAAGGTTTGACTAAATGAATAGAGGTTCTGTTCTGACTTTACTCCTTTTGAAGTGTGACCATTATTTCCCCACCAAGAATTCCAGGAATGGCATTTCCATAGGAGATGGGCCAACCTGTCCAGACCACTTATGGGCAGGATCCGTCCCTCGTTCTACCTGGGGATCCCTGCTGCTGGTCTGCTATCTAAAGGTGAATCAGGCCAGACCCTGCTTAGCTTTGGAGATCAGACAAGATCCGGTGTCTTCAGCTGCAGTGTGCCAGGTGGCTGCCCAGCTATACACCTGGATGATGTCTGGGGGGGGGGAATTTATGGGGTCATCTTGTTCTACATCTGCCTGAAGGTGGCCTCATCTCAGTCTTTCTGAAAGATTTTATCCTAAAGTTAAGTCAACAAAAGAGGTTGCTTCACTTGCTCACCCTCTCCTCACTCTCTTCAGTAAGTCAGAGCCTTTTAAATTGTGGTTTCAGAATGTATATAAACACAACTGGGTGTTTGAGCCTTTGGGGGCGGTGACTGAGAACTTAATTAGCTGGAAACAATCACCTTCACTGCCCTGGAGAGGTGCGCTGTTCTCAAAGGCCTTTTGGGCACCGATGTGAAGGAGTCGGCATCCTCTCTTGTCCTCCAGGGGACCAACTTTTGGCTGAACTTTTCACGACCAGGAGCTCACCTGCAACCAACGTGGGAACGGACTGTTCATTCCTCGGCCTCGCTCTTCTCCTTGGCTGCTCCTGCCCAGACCCCCTGCCTCAGATATACCCCTTCCGGGAAGGGGGGGAGCTGCCGTTTTTCTTTTGTTGCCCAAAGGAAACTATTGTGGGCCAGCTCTGCAAACTGGGGTTTGATTTGAGGTGCTCCTCATCAGGTGTCATTTAAAGATTCAAATGCTCTTTGAAATACTGAGTTCTTACTCCTGCCCCCCCCCCCCGCCTCAAGGGAAAGGGGTGAAACAGTGGGTTTGGTGCTGACGTGGATCGGATGTGCCTCGAATTTTGTAAAGGAGCTTTGGTTAATTTACAGGCAGAGGCTTTATCAGGGACCTTGTGACAATTAGTTGGAAAAGGGAACGAGATTGCAGTTTAATTAATATTCTAATCCCACCATTCACAGTCTTCCTGCCAACTCAGCAAGGCGGCATGTTCTGTTTGCAGTCCTTGTGATTCAGCCGGGCTGACATTCGTCAACAGCCTCCAGAAGAGAAACCCACTTGTGAATTTATCACAAAAATTACCAACCGTCAATATGGCATAGAAAAGTTTTAATCAGGGCTGTCACATAACAGTTTTTCTGTCGACAAACACAAAAGGACCTTTCACGGAACATAATTTACTCAGTCTTTTGATCGCATAAAGTGTGCATTAAGAAGTCACTCAGTCAGCCTGGAGAGCTAAGAGAGAATCATCCCGCATCACTTTTGTTTTGTTTCTTCAACAGGTAAATAATTCAGACGTGGTTTTCCCTCCCACTGGTCCACGCACCGTCCACGTACACCAGCCATGAGGCTGCTGCTGTTCTCTGCCTGCGCAATGCTGTGGACCGTCTCCCAATGCCACGCCGTCAGCTTTCCAGAAGACGACGAACCTATTAATGTTGTCGACTACCCCTGTGAGTCCCCGGCAGCACCAAACGTGCTTTTTAATTGCCATCTCTTTTGGTTGTCAAAGGAAAGTCTCCCAACTTTTGCCTTCAGATAGATAACTTCATTATGTTTAATTTAAGGACAGCAGTCCAAAAGACTGCAGTATGTTCAGGATTATTGTTTTGTTTTTTAAAAAAAACATGTTTGCTGACGTTCGCCGTCTTGCATTCATTTATATTCAAAGCATTAGGCGAGAAATTTAGTTTAAGCCCATGTACTCCCAGCATGCAGAGCTAATCAATGCTCCCTATTGATTCTTTATCTCTGTAATCCTGAGTGATGGCGTAACCCCATTTTTACTTGCAGATTCCAGGCAGTATCCAGTATTTAGAGGACGCCCTTCAGGCAATGAATCCCAACACAGGCTGGACTTTCAACTGATGTTGAAAATTCGAGACACACTTTATATTGCTGGCAGGTAATTTTCCTGCAGACGGTTGATTGAATTAGAATTCTCTTCCTCCCTCCTCTTGGTTTTGCATTCAATCTGGGGCCCTTTGCTTAAAACAATCCTTTGAATGGGAGCAGGGAAATAGAATAGCAAGGGAGGAATCAAGAGAAAGAAGTAGGGGAGAGTGGCACATAGCCCTCATAAACAAGACTGGAGACCCATCTTTTCCATCACCCATTAAAGTAAATCAGGCAGCCCTGGCTGGCTGTTCTGCATGGATTCTCCACGGCCACTCCAGACCAGCATATCTCAAGCAACACAACTGCTTAAAAGGAGGCAGATGGGCAGTTTGAGAGAAATCCCGGGTGGACACCTCAGTTGGGCAATTTTGTATGCTGCTCAGGGCCCAGAAACTGAGATGTAGGCTTTTCCAGCCTCCATGGGGACATGGGGTGTGCTTACTTTACATCCCACTTGGATGCCCAAAACATGCTTGATGTGCAACTGCTCTCAGAAGTTGTTTGGAAGCTTCAGCCAGTCCAGAATGCCACAGACAAACTGTTGAATGGTATTTGTTCTGGAGAACAAGTGTTTCCTTCACGCAGCCTCTTCACCAGCTGCCTGTTGGTTTGAGGGCATAATTCTAGACAAGAAATGGTGACTTCCCATTTTATTCCAACTAGGCGTCTGTAGTTTAGCCAAGTTCAAACCATGGCTTTGCGTTTTGGCTAATTCTTTGGTTGTCAACCATGGTTTCCTGGTTTGGGGGCAAATGGAACTCGGTGGGAAACATTCTGGTTGACCAGCACAAAGTGCTTCTGTCTCCCAAAGACCTTACTCTTCTTCTCAGCAGATTGAGTCAAGAAATTATGACACAGACCACAGAGTGGTGATGGTGGTGGGGTGTTTGCATGTTTGTATGTCTGTTGTTTCTTATTCTTGTCTTACAGAGATCAAGTTTACACCGTAAGCTTGAATGAAGTTCCCAAGGGCGAGGTTGTTCCAAGCAAGGTAAAACCAAACTGAAACAAGTTTGATTATTATTATTATTATTATTATTATTATTATTATTATTATTATTATTATTAGTAGTAGTAGTAGTAGTAGTAGTAGTAGTAGTAGTAGTAGTAGTAGTAGTAGTAGTAGTAGTAGTATTCTAAAACGATCCTTCTGACTTGAAGTTTGAATATTCTTGTTTCTTTATTGTGTTGGAACAGAAATTAACATGGCGGTCAAAGCAGCAGGATAGAGAAAACTGTGCCATGAAGGGAAAACACAAAGTAGGTTTGTCTTCAAAATCCACACAAAATAAAAACATACAGTCTTTGAAAGCACTCTCATCTTGAGTTGAACTTGAAACCAGTTTTGAGCTGATAGTCAACTGCTTGCGGATGCAGAAATGTTTATTTCTGTTAACTGGAAGGAAAACTGTGTGCCTACCATTTCAGAACATTGTTAAAGATAGTGACCTCTTATGAAAATATCAAAATAGAGTAAATTTTTTAAAAAGGACATTTAGAAAGGTTTTATGTGACATATAAGCAGGACTGTGCCCAATCATTCGTATTTTCCTCCATTTTCTTTAGTTCTTTATGTGCTGATATTTTGCCACCTTGATGCTCTGTTTTTCCAATTTAAAATAAATAAACTATATTGCTGAGTTAATAGTAACGCAACTCATCCACTCTTTCTCTCCTTTATTTTTTAGGATGAATGCCACAATTTTATTAAAGTCTTTGTCCCCAGGAATGATGAGATGGTGTTTGTCTGTGGAACGAATGCTTTTAACCCCATGTGCCGTTACTATAGGGTAAGGATCGCTGCCCCGATGCATCAGGAGAACCCCTTGTATCTAAATACCTTTCTAAATCCTGCTGCTGACGTTTGTGGATATTAAGAGGCCTATCCCTCATCTGCATAACCATTCTTAGCATTTTTATCTCACTCTTCTGCTAAGCAGATGTAGGGTTGGGGATTATATTAGTTCCGTTTCGCACATACACCTGTGGAAAAGGATAGGCTGCAAAATAGTCACCGTCCTGGAGCCTTCCTCTTCCTGTGACCTTCAAGACTTGCTGGGGATTTGAATCTGGCATCCCCAGGATTTCATCTAGACAAATCAAACTAGACAGACAAGTCGCCAGCTTCCTCAAAAGCGGCATGCCTGAGCTGTTAGAATGGCAAATAAAACCTGTGTTTGCCTGTCGATGGCCAGTCACCAAAGGGAATCAGACCGGCTTGCAGCCTGCAGGGGTGAGGAAATCTCATACAGGGCCTGACCAGGTGTGGGGCATGAGCACCACAGCCTTCTCCTGCCCTGGGAAGCTGGGAGGGGGCCTACAGCCACCCAGACCGAACAGCCTTGTGGATGTAAACACCAATGTCCTTTGTGCCTGTCCTTGAAGAATGGCTCTTGAGCCTTGTGTGGAAGATTAGATTAAGTCTTAAAAAATGGCATGAGGATGCATGCAAAGCAGCCTTCCACCTTTCACGCTGCTCTGCAGAACTTGAAGTGGCACCACCAGATAATCTGTTTTGCTTCTCTAGTTGAACACCTTGGAGTATGATGGCGAAGAAATCAGCGGCTTGGCGAGATGCCCGTTCGATGCTAGACAAACCAACGTTGCCCTCTTTGCTGGTAAGGAGATTTTCCTCAACGCATCCTGCTGGGAAACCGGTATAAGAAGGGCAGGGTGGAGAAAGATGTTCCAGAAAGCTCTGGGTAAAATGTGGAAAGCTCTGTGAGGCTTGTTTCAGTGACACAAGCCCAGACCGAGTATAAATGAGACCTCGAGATGGAGCAAGCATTCTGCTCAGAAGAAGCTTTCCTCTCTTGGGTGCACGCGGGGGGAAGGCCTCTTGCGTTCCTCCTGTCTTGTTTGTTTGTCTTTGGTGGAACTGGGTTGGGGAATCTCTTACCATTGGTCCCCCAAGCGCCATCAGCCTCGGAAAGCATGGGCAAGAATCAGTAAGGATGGGAACTGTAGTCCAATAACACCCACCCTACCTGTTTTAATTCTACCTGCTTCCATGTATTTAAGGAACAGCAATAAAAATTTGCCTTCTATTTAGACCAAATCTTCCATCTGTTTAGCTGGTCAACATTATTTAAACAATTAATCTAATTAATAGATTGAACGCTGTAGAGAAAAGAACCGTAGATTCATAGGTGCTTTTCATGCTGGTTTTGTATTGGTTTTGAAAAGCAAAGGAGCCTTTAACAAGCCATCTCTTGGGGAAATCTTTTGAGAAACACATTCATCCGTCATTTCAGGTACATCACACACCATGATGCCACATCAGCCAACTCCTGAGCAGGTCAAACTGTTCAGTGACAGCCTACCAATCCGTATCCTATATTCAGTTGGTTGGCGTCACGCCATTCAAAAACCTAGATGCTTTTCTGCTGGGTGATGTCATTGGAGGGAATGGATCTTCCATGGAGGAACAGTGTTTTGACCCTTGGACTATGTCTGCCTCACCTACTGGCCCCCTGAAATTACAAAAGGTGGCCAGCCCTGCAGGAGAGGAGGTCTTTGGGGGAGAGAGGGGGTGTGACAGAGAGGCAGTGATAAAGAGACACGGGCACCGAGGATTCTGCCTCCTGGTGACTCCGTGCGTCTGTCATCCTAGATGGGAAGCTCTACTCTGCCACGGTGGCTGATTTCCTGGCCAGCGATGCTGTCATTTACCGAAGCATGGGGGATGGGTCAGCCCTGAGGACCATAAAATATGATTCCAAGTGGATAAAAGGTAATTAATAAAAATGCTAACATAGAAAACGATCTTGTTGGTCGCCTGTTCCCGGACGTTTTGTCGTTGTGGGTATATGATAGTCTGCCTCCCGTAACCTTGTCTTAAAAACTCGGATCATTACAGATGGCTGAATGCAACCTCTCTCTCTCTTTTCCTTAGAAAGAGTAGACTTTCTAAGGAAAGCCAAGACAGGGTAGTGGTTAACGTGAGGGAGGAGGTGTTGGGGAAACCTTGGTTCAAATCCCTGCTTGTCCCTCAAAGGTGACGCTGTGGGGGGAGGGAGTGGCAACCACTCCTTGAATATCTCACATTTACCTCAAGAACCCTATCGGGGTCGCTCTCCTTTGGCAATGACCTGAGGGTACCCAATAGCAGGAGGACTTGCCATTCCCTGAAGCCGTCTGGTCCACGCTGAAGCAGCTCCTGCTGTAAGGAAATACCAGCCGCAGCAATGCTGTCCAAGCTCTCTGGGTCAGAGAGGCTTCGCAACCACTCCTTGAATATCTCACATTTACCTCAAGAACCCTATCGGGGTCGCTCTCCTTTGGCAATGACCTGAGGGTACCCAATAGCAGGAGGACTTGCCATTCCCTGAAGCCGTCTGGTCCACGCTGAAGCAGCTCCTGCTGTAAGGAAATACCAGCCGCAGCAATGCTGTCCAAGCTCTCTGGGTCAGAGAGGCTTCATCCTCCCCCCCCCCCTCTTTTTTAGGGCAGCGTGCTCCAAATCCCAGACACCCCACCCCCCTCGGCACTTTTGTCTTCATTCAGCCAAGGTCTTGGCCCAAGAACAAGCTTGTTTTCCACCTCCGCCCAATCAAAGGAGGTTAATGAATGAAGTGGCCGGGACAAAAGGGTGGAGCGGTAATGCAGTTCCTCCGAGGCCTTTTCACAGTCCATTAGCCGACATTGAGAGTCTCGGCACATCCACCAAAGTTCCTCGCTGGGCACCTTGGAGTGCCTGGAATATTGGAGTTCCCTTAGAGTTGCGTGAAAGGAGCATTACAGCCTTTCAACAGGCCGCCTCCCAAAGACCAGCGTTGTGGCTTCAGTGGGAAGTGTGCCTGTCATGCCCCTAAAGGCCATCAACACATGTAGCCAGAAGTCATCCTTTCCCCCTTACTAGCCCCTTACTATGCACACATCAGTTGAGTCCCAAGACAGTGGAAGGCTAAACTCATGGTTTATCCTTTATTAGTTGCATCTCTCTATCACTTTTCTGCCCTGCAGCTCAATTGGGCATATCGTTCATATTTGCTGAGCAGGGACTTGAGCCCAGATGCCCTAAATGGCCGCCCGGCATCCCAGTCTTTGCACAACGGAGGTTCCCGGGGCTCATTTTCTTTTTTAAATCTCCAGAGTGAACCCTTGTGGAGCTTTATCCTCTTCAGTGCAAAGAGGAGATCAGCGGTTCCCCTGCTTTGCCCTGTGCTTTTGTCAAGGCAGTATATCCTGAATGAATCCCATCTGTGGTGGCCCGAGTGGGAGCAGACCCGCTCCTGCCCCTCCTTGTACTGCCTTTTGTGGAAGGGGCCACGTCGCAGTCTCCGAAGACACCCTCTGCTCCCCACAGGACTCCAGGTCAGCCAAGGAGCAAACTCAACTTTCTTCCAACCAGTAGAGTTTTTGAGGTTGGTGAGGTGTTCAAGGAGTGTTTTACCACCACTGACACTCTGTCCCACTATATACCTCGCTGGCAGTCATGTTGGAGCCACCGTGGTCATCCTGAGTAGTGACCCGATGGATGTGATCTTCCAGGTGAGCAGGAAACAGGAAGTGGTGGCAAATCTCAACCACGGTGTTTTCTTTTATCCATTGAAGTTTTGACATAGGGCAACAAGTCGTTCGCCACTTCCAAGAGGGCAAGACAAAAACTACTCCTGGTTAGTTCGCATTATCTGTGCAGCAGTCTTGCCTTTTTCCAGACGTCTCACTAGCGTCCCTTAGTATGGTAAAACAATGGTCAACCCCGTCTCTTATTTCTTTTAATTTAATTTAATTTTTTTACTCTTATGTCTGTGAGCAAAATCCATCCGCTCATCTCCTCTTCCTTTGCAACCTCCGCAGAGCCCCACTTCCTCCATGCCATTGAGTATGGGAACTTTGTCTATTTCTTCTTCCGAGAAATTGCTGTGGAGCACAATAATTTAGGCAAGGTAAGAGCAAATGCATTATATTTGGGTCCCTTTATTGGAAGAAAGATGGCCTGCAAATAAAACAAATTCATTCAAATAAAGAAAGGTAGGATCTGTAGAAGACTGAATGTTTTCTCTGAAGCAACTGGCCTCTTTTCTTTCTTTTCTTTTTTAAACAAGCATGAGTTTTGAAACATCCAGAATGATATTTTCATATTTCTAAAGGCTATGAAATCTGCTGCCTGTTTCATCTCTCTTCTTGTAGAATAGCTCAGCCCCCAAAACATTTTCTCATCTTGATTTAAAAGCCCATTTGAGATCAACGACAAAAATGCACAGAATAAGACAGGACACAATTTCTGGGAAATAACAACTTCCAAAATCTCCTTTAAAGTAAAAAGGCAAAATTATACTTGTTTTTACCATGTGCACCATGGGCTTTTGTGTGTTTTTGTGTAATTCTATTTTAGGCAGGGGTGCATTTTTCAGATCCTGGTGGAAGTCCCACTCTTGTTGTCAACAGGACCATCTCCAGCTGAGCGTAACTGTAGGCTGGAAAGTAGACCACAGTGCTCTGCCTGCAGAGCCCTCCCATTCTGTGTTTGCTTGGCAGGATCCCACCCAAAACTCTTGTTGATTTGAGCAGGGTTGGCACAAGAGAACTGGGAGCAGGATCAGATCCCTTGTTCTTAACAAAACAAAACAAAAAGCCCTCGTGCCCTGGATGGTTCTTCTCACCTCCTTCTCTGCCTCCTTCCCTCAGGCTGTGTACTCTCGGGTGGCTCGCATTTGCAAAAATGACATGGGGGGCTCCCAGAGAGTGTTGGAGAAGCACTGGACCTCCTTTCTCAAAGCTCGCCTCAACTGCTCCGTCCCGGGGGATTCGTTTTTCTACTTTGACGTCCTGCAGTCCATCACGGACATCATAGACATCAGCGGCGTCCCGACCGTCGTGGGCGTCTTCACCACCCAGCTCAACAGGTGAGAGGCAAGAGGAAAAGCCAAGGCCTCTCCCTTGCTGCCACCGCCACCTCAGCCCACCACCCCCCTCAGTCCCTTGGCTCCGTTGGCGACCGCGTGTCTCTGTCTTGCGCAGCATCCCCGGCTCGGCGGTCTGCGCCTTCAGCATGGACGACATCGAGAAGGTCTTCAAAGGGAGATTTAAGGAACAAAAAACACCAGATTCTGTTTGGACAGCTGTGCCTGAGGACAAAGTGCCACGGCCAAGGTAAGCAGCCACCCGAGAAAGGAAGACGTTTGGTGATCCACAGGCCCCTTTGCAAGGCTGCTGGGGAGCTGCTGTCGTCGGGTTGCATTTGTGTCTGACGGGGGGGGGACATTTCAGGTGTCAGGTTTTTCACTGCCCCCTTGCACGCAGCAGACAGATTAACTGAACACATTCCCAAGGGCCCACAGAGGACAAGTAAAGACACTTACATGTACACCTGTGTATACTCATTGTGTATACCTTCACAATGCTGTTTTGGAGATGATGGATGACAGCTTAAAGCCACTGTGCTCTCCACAGGCAACCCTTGGGTCTGATTAAGAACTGAAGGAGTTTTCCTCAGCGTTCAAAGAGCTGTTTCTGCAAGTGACGGCTGACATGTTACTGTGAGAAGGGCTGACTCTTCGTTTTAGAGTCGCACTTTCCTAGTTACAAAAAGACCCTTTAAAAATGAAGTTGAAAATCTTAGGGGAAAAAAATCCCTTAAAAGAAAATCATGAGTAATAAACAAATATTACTGGTTGCTATTCTGTAATACTATGAGTACTAGTTATTATGGTATTTTAAAAAAGATAAAAAAAGATAAAAGACATCAAAACCACACACATTTACTGCCTTAAGGCCTTGTTATTTACAAGCTGTCCTAGGAGGTAATGAAGCAGACTGCCCCAGTCCTCTGATCCATCATCACCCCCTGACAAAAGGAGTGGGGGGAGCAAGTGTTGCAGTGATGGTAAATTTGGATTTATTGGAGCTGGAAAGCTCAAAATTGTGGTCTTCCATCTTAAAACTGCCCAAATCCTTGCTTTTGCAGCCCCAACGCTGTGCCCGACGTGTTAATATGCATAAGTTTTAAGATGGTGCGCCATTTCTTTGAAATTATACCTGGGTTTGATTTTATTTGATGTGGTCTTTGTGCTCGTGTTTTATCAGTGTTTAGTTTAGTGAAGTTTTTAGTTGCTTACAGAACCTCTTCATTGGCAGAACCCTTTGTATTGAAGGGTGAGATTAAGGTGTGTGGAAGAAGGGAAGGGTTGGGGTCTTCCCGTTGATCTTTCAGAATTACAGCAAAGTGGATTTTGGAGCAGCTACGAGACTCATCAAGTTTTCAAAGCTGACGAGTCATTCTTGGGCCAAGTCCCCCTCATTCTGTGCCTTGCGACTGCCTCTTGTTTTCCATCTGGCTCCCAAAACGGGATCTTGAATTTCCCTTGGCTGTTTTGACTTGTCCTTTTAGATTTCTTGCCGTCTGCATTGAACGTTTTTTTTTTTAAAAAGCGGGAAAAAATGTTGCTTTCCTTTCAGACCTGGCTGCTGTGCCAGACACGGGCTAGCAGAGGCTTACAAAACCTCCATTGATTTCCCAGATGAGATGCTCTCTTTCATCAAGTCCCACCCTCTGATGGATTCCGCCGTTCCATCTGTCATTGAAGAGCCTTGGTTCACAAAGACAAGGGTCAGGTAAGGGGCGGGCCACGGTTGCAACAGGAGACGGGGCCAAGGCACCCACCTGAAATACAGGATCCAGCTCTCCAGCCATGCCAGGGCAGGCAGCTTGGGGCTCCTCCGCCCAGCTGTGGCCAACATCCCACAAGCAGCCTTTGTTTTGGCTCTTGCTGATCCTGTGATCAAGCTGCTGTGGTCCCCTCAACACACACGGCAGGTGGCAGCAATGTTGCTCTCCTCTCCAGTTCCTAGACAGGTGTCAGGCACTTTCCCCAGAAAGAAAGAAAAACACCCTGTCTTCTTTTTGGTGGTCCTGCTAGTCCTGGCAAAGTGATACAGGATGAAAATCCGGAGAGGGACTGGAAGACAGATGGGACAGACAGACAGACAGAGACAGGAATTAATATTCTAAGATTTCTTGGTCTTGGCAGGTATCGGCTAACTGCCATCACGGTGGACCGCTCTGCTGGCCCGTACCAAAACTACACCGTCCTTTTTGTGGGCTCTGAAGCCGGAATGGTGCTTAAAATCTTGGCAAAGACCAAGCCGTTCTCCTTGAATGACAGCGTCCTCCTGGAAGAGATTGACGCTTACAATGGTGCCAAGTGGGTATTATTATTATTATTATTATTTTTACGAGAAGTGCTCAGAGGCTCTTTATGATGTCTGTCTCACTTAAGTGGCTTTTGTTCTTTAAACACCTGGCTTCTCCCGACTTCCCCTGGCGGTGTCTGGTGCTTCCCGGTGTTTATGGGCCTGTGTATCTGAGCAGCCTAAATAGGTGTGTGGACCTGCCTTGTCGAGGCCACGCGGTTGTTTGGAGGCTGTTCGTGGGCAGGCACACTTGGGCTCACTAAGTCACCAATACGATCTTGTTACTGCGGATGTGGTTTTCTCCGGCTGCCATATTTCTTCTCCTTGTTTCACCTCTAGATGTAAATGACTGGGATGCTGTCAAGGAACAGGTCGAGCCACTACTAATGATCATGATCATGATTACTAGCAAAAGAATGGGATAATAGTTAGGCCAGGCCTGCTGTATTCTTCCCTTTTTGCTGCCATGCTGTTAAGTTAGTTCCACATTAGGGTGGCCCTTGCAGGGTTTTTAAAGTATGGGAGATGTTCAAGGTGTGGTTTTTCCCAGGGCCACCCCAGCCTGGTGCATTTCTATGGCAGAGGAGGAATTTGAACCTGGGACTCCTGCATCTTAGTCTAAGGCTGCCCCCCTACTCAATACTAACCCTTTCCCATCTCTGGCCATCGGCTTTATCTGCCCTTGCGAAGGAGAGGCCAGCTGCTAAGCTTGCACTCCGATTTCCCCTTCAGCAATGAATTCAAATGTGTTTATTGTGTGGCATCCCTTGGCCGGAGTCTTAACCAGCAAACCGCAGGGACCCTCTCTCATCCAGGCGCCTTTGTGTGGAAGAGAAACTTGTACTGTGAGAAAAATGGCCGGCACAGAAAGCAAACTGTTGGACTTCCTTGAGTCTCGTCCTAAAAAGATACATACCAACAGAAACCTGGGGGAATGGCTCTTGGCTTGTCAGGATACACAAGGAGAAGTGGGCCGGCGGGAGAGACGTCATCCTCCAGCTGTTCCCCGAGTCCCAACCCACCATGGCTGATAAAAGATGTAGCAGTCTTAAACCACCTCCAGCCACCTACAGATCCACCACCCCGTTTGTGCCATGCTGTTTTAAAGAAAACTGAATCCTGCTCAGATTTAAGTGTAAAATTAGGGCTGTGAAGCATCACCCAGGTGTGCGTGTGTGTGTGTGTTTGTGCAAAGGCATAAGGGTCCCACAATTCCTTCTACCAAACAGGTGCAACGGTGGGGACGGCGAAGAGGAGAGGAGGGTCCTTTCGCTGCAGCTGGACAAAGAGCACCACGCCCTCTTTGTCGCTTTCTCCAGCTGCGTCGTTCGGATCCCGCTGAGTCGCTGCGAGCGCCACGGGACCTGCAAAAAGTAAGCGACCCCCCTCCCCGGTGCACCTCTGTCCTGCTGGCCATCGCAGGCGGTGGAAGGATTCACGGCCTCTCCTCTGATCTTGCCGCAGGACTTGCATTGCTTCTCGGGATCCTTACTGTGGGTGGCTGAATCACGGCGCCTGCGGAAGAGTCAGATCCAGCATGTTGTAAGTAGCAGCTTACAGTATCATTCGTTTTGTTTTGCTTGGTTTTTTAAAAAAAGGTAGACCTTGGCTTTCTCCCACACTGGACCCCGGGTGGCTCACAGGCTGCAGAGAAAGACCCGTGCAAAGAGAAAGAGAGAAAAATCATATAATCGGCTATCATGTTAACATGCAATTAAAGTAACTGTAATGTGAAAGCACTCTTTTCACTTGACAAAAAATTGTATTAATAAAGTGCAACCTCATTGTGTGCAACACAAATACAACAAGCAGTTCCTGGGACGGGAAAACTCGGTCCAATTTGAGGTGGACAGTTCTAATCTCAGGCAAAGATTTGTAGGATGTTTCCTTGACCGAGAGCTATTGCCGTGAAGGGCAGCGTGCGGTGCTCGGCGGGGTTTATCTGTGACCTCCATTCCTGGCACAGGGGCCAGCGCAGAGTACGTTCAGAGCATTGCGGGTGCCCCCGTGGAAGGCAACCAAGGAGGCAAAGAGTCTGGAAACCAAGTCCGACACAAAGCGAGAGGGCGCTGGACTGACGGGTCTTTGGCTGCCTCTTAAAGCCCGTTGTCCCTGCTGTTTAGCAATGGCAGCAACCAAAGGAGGAAGGGATCTGGACGTGCTTAGCCTAGAGAAGACCAAGGGACAATATGAGAGCCACGTCACGTGGAAGAGGGAGTGGGCTTGTTTTCTGGTGCTTAGCCTAGAGAAGACCAAGGGACAAGTGGGCTTGTTTTCTACTCTCTGAGAAGACAGGACCTGAGCCAGTGAATGCAAAATACAAGAACAGAAATTCCATCTGAAGATTAGGAAGAAAGTGGAATGGACTACCTACATGGGGAGGTAGTGGGTTCTCCTTCATAGCAGGGGTGGCATTTGAACCTAGGTCAGGTGCCCGTCTCTCAGGACTGCTTAAGGATTTCCCGCCGTGGGAACGAGTGGGAGTCGTTGTTCTCTTGCCGTTTCTTCCCAGCTGCTGTAGCAAATGTTTATCAATAGGCCTTATTTAGGGAGCAGCCGTTCAACCTGTTTAAAGTTGCATGGATCCTTATGGAGAAGCCCCTTTGTGGAAGGCGGTTCATTCAGCCGATCAAATCAGAGCGGGTGGCGAAACATAAAAGCTTGGTATCCGGTGTCTTTGATCTCATGTGTCTTAACGCACGCGATCCCCGAACAAATAGAACTGCGCGTGGGGGAGGGGCATTTTTGGATTTTGGAGGTGACAGCCACTGTCTGTATGGGCTTTCCCAACTAATGCTGTTAATTGCAGGTTATCTTTGTTTGTTTCATACAACCACAGCGTCGGGGGATACGAGCAGGATGTGGAATATGGCAACACTGCCCATCTTGGGGATTGCCACGGTAAGCGGCCGGCCCCAGATGCCTACTTGGGAATGTGGCATGGTTTTGTTTTTTTGTTTGTTTTGTTTTTTTGTCTGTGGGACTCCCCCCCTCCCATGTGGCGTTAATGGCACTAAGCACCCCTCCCCTTCCTCCTGTTAAACCTGACACTGCTGGGTCTTTGTGGGGGGGGGAGAGGAGACCTTGGGCTGTTTACCCCCCCCTTCCAACCATCATGACTGTTTGTGACAGTCTTGCGGTCTCAAGTTATTAAAACCAATATTTTCCCCTCCTTTCTCCTTTGTGATTTTTTTTCCTCCCCCTTTTGGGAAACCAGTTGTGTTTTACTTTCCAGTTTTTCGGTTGCTCAGGCTTTGAAAAATCTTTTGCTTATTTCCTTTTGGTTACTTTTCACTGATTATGTGTTCCTTTAATTCTTTTAGAAATTTTGCCTTCTACAACTACACCAGATTACAAAATATTTCGCGATCCAACATCTGGTTAGTTTTTTTCAATCATTTTCCCCCCCTGATTTAATGAAGCTTTTCTTTCTTTCAGTTCAGCATTTTCTGACATCTTTTCTTTTTTATTATTATTATTTTTCTCTTCCCCCCCCCCACTCCCTTTCTCCCTTCGCTTTCTTTTGGAGCCGCTGGCAGTCCTTATTTTCTTCTTCTTTTTTCCCCCTTTTGCTTTTCTGCCGCTTCTCATTCTCCCACTGATGGTCAAGAGACAGCCAAGATGCTCGTCCTCGCTCAGCATTTTCCACCCGGTGTAGCTGCATGCTCATGATTAATGGAGACACATCTTGCATTAACAAAAGAACCTGATTAACATAGATGACATTAACGTCCCTCTGTGCTTCCACCGCCCTCCTCCCCATCTTCACCCCACTGTGCTTTCATGCATGCTGCTTGTCCGTTCCGTCTGCCCCCCCCCGTGTCATTTTTCAGGAGGCATGGCTCTCCTCTCTGCCTTCCTTTCCTCCCACGACTGTCTTTCTTCCTGTCAGTTATAAAGCAAATACGCGTTTTCCAAAACGCATATTTCTCAAGTGTTGGACACGTGTTGATTTCTTCAGGGTTTGGAAATGTGGTTGCCCTAACAGATGGCAAGTAGCTTTGCCCCTTTTCTGCTTGTCTCCCGGGTAGGGTAGCCGTGGCACACACAGGTGAGGCGTTTCCCTTTCGAGAGGTCGCTGACAAGATGATCGCAACAGGAATCACAAAAACTTCCTTTGCAGCAACAAGGTTGCCGTGTGGCCATTTTGGGGAGCAGTGTTCTGCTGTTGCACCCCTTGCCCAAAATTGGGGGTTTGTGTGAATAAAGAAGGACTTAGTTAGGGTGAAGCAGTTTCCAGCAACCAGAGAGAGAGCCTTCTGTCGTACGCAGCCCCTTGCCTTCCTTGGTTGGCAGATCTGACTCCCTTTCAATTCTGAGCTCCAAGCTGCTAGTTTGTACACATGACTTTCAAATGTTTTCCTTAATCTGTTTGTCTCCCACTTTTCTTTAAACAGCAGTCGTGTTTATTGGTTCAAGTCACCGTTTGGAGTCTGGGTTTGTTTTTTTGTTTTGGTCTAGGCACACTTTTTAAAATGATAACAAGAAGCTTCAAATTACGATAAAAGAATGGCAGCTGATAAGCATGACACAGAATTGTTGTTGTTAAAAAAAAGGTTTCCCTGCAGCCACAAAAACAAACTCCAAATTCAAAGTGAAAACTTCTCCCAAGTCCTCTACACAGGCAGTCCTTAAACCTGTGCAGGACAAAATGGCCCCATTTTGGGAAGTGGTCCTCTCAGTTATACCCACTTCTGTTCATGGGATCCAGCATGGCTTAGGATCCTGCTGCGTGTGCAGGGCTGATGATTAAACAGGCGGATGCCTGTTGCACCTCCCGAGGAAGCGTGTGCCGTCCTTGTGCGTTGGCCCCAAAAGGGTCTCTGAGCCTTGAAAACAAGCTCCTCTTAGGGCAGTTTAATAATATCGTTGAGCGGCCGTTAACCACGTTCAGTTGTGGGTGAAGACTGAGGGCAAAATGCAGAAATTAAAGACAGAAACAGAAACCTGACTGCCATGCACATTAATAGACGTCTGTTTGCCACCACAGACCTGGAGTTCTCCTCCGCTCCTTTTACCACAGTGGGAAGTGACTCTATGCTCTCCCCCCAAGGGGTTGGTTCCTGGAAACCTAGAGTGACTGGCTCTCGGAAGTTTGTAGCACAAGATGACCCAAACACTTCCGATCACTCTGATCCATCGTCAGGGGTCCCGAAGGGTAAGGAGGCCTCCTCAGAGCGTCTCTTGCGGTGGAAAGGAAACCTGATCGCTTCAGCGGTTTCAAAGGTCTCTGTGCCGAGGCCACTTGGCCAGAGCCAAAAAAAAGGCCATGTGGTGTGATATTTATTTATTTTTCCTTGCTGCGCACAAAAGGGGGGGGCGTTGTTTGGTTGTTGAGCTTTTCTTCCCCCAAGAGATGCAGTCAAACACTTTGATTGTCTCTCACTACAAAAAGATTCATTAGAATGGGGGGCGGGGAGGGGAGGCCATCATCATCATCATCACCATGTATTTCTATCAGTACTTGTTCCAGTCCAGGGGAAGCGGCTATGAGAAAAGCAAGTCCATTACAAAGTAGGAAAAGGCAGTGTGGTGTCTGTGGGAAGGAGCAAGGGTCGCACGCAACGGAGGCCCATGGATCCTGCAGCCCAAACAGCGTGCGCCTAGTGCTGCGTGCTGCACCCTTTTCTGCAGCTGCACATAACAGCTTCTGCATGGCTAAGAGGCATCCGGCAGGCCTCTTAGAGGTCGTCTGTTGCACACGGAGTCATGCAACTTGGCTAACAACAGGTAGTGCCTTACGGAGCTTTCTAAACTCTCCAAAGCTAAGATGCAGTTCACATCTAAAAGCTGCACTGTTTGCCTAAGTGCACAACCGGTTTTCAAAAAGAATTAGGAAAACGCTGTGTGGTTCAGGATTACCCAAATGTGAGAATTAAGTGATATTTTGGCTGAACCACTAAAAAATCAAATTGCAAAGTTACAACTAGTGTGACTTTGTTGTTGTTTATGGTTCAGTAGAGGTATCCCCTAATTCTTGCAACTAGTTTTCAGCCACCGTGTTTCCTGGCCAAAGGGGGACCTCAGTGCAGGTCTTTATTATCTGCTCGCTCAGATAATAATTTTTGCACACTTGCTAGAAGATGACATATATTCGCACAAGCCTAATGCTTTGCTTTCTGTTCTTTGGTTGGTTCAAGAGTTGCAGCTTTTCAGCAAACTTTTGACATTTTATTATTCACTGAAACGTATCAGGTTTCCTTCCACCATAATTTTGCTTCAGGTGTTTTATTGCTTGATTGTCCTTTAAAACCAGCACCCTATTGTCAGAATTTGCTCACATCTTCCTAGTCACGCTTGGTGACATTTCCCGTCGAGAACTCTTCCATTCCATTTCTCCTTTTTTCCTCTTTTACACCGTGCTTAAAACCAATAACCCTGAACTTTTAACTGTCCTTCAAAGGTCTCGCCTCTAACAAAACAAAGCAAAACCCGGTGACGCGCTTCTTCGTTTTAACTCCCTCCTCCACGCCCACTGCAGAATAACACAATTAGATGCAAACTAACCTTCTCACAATAGCATGGGATCTCTGGTTTCTTTAAACAAAAACATCCAGAAAAACCTGCAAAGACTGACACTAACAATGAATTGTAAAATTCTGTATTTGTTGCTCTCCTTTCGAGGTCTAAATTAAATGCATTCTCTGTTATAAAAATTGTAAAACCTCTCATTAGCTGTATGATTTTTAAATGATTTTCATTTCCAAATGCCCATTACTCACTAAAGCATATCTTAAGATGATAATCTTGCCCTTTAAAAAAAAATCTGTAGACAATGCCACTCCTAAAGTAGTAAATTCAGGAGCGTTCGTTTTATGTGTTTGAGGGGTGTATTAGCATAGATCTAACAATGCAATGTGCACGTATTATACAGTTTTATACAATATTTGCATAATCCTATCTCACTTCTGATTCTGATTTATGAGTCAGGGAGGGAATTGAAAGAGAAATCCATCCACAAGTTATTAATTGCAGTCTAGCAGAGTAGCACCTTCTAACCTCAATTTTCCAGCAGAAATCGTTAAAGTTAATAACATACAAACCATGAGTTCTGGGTCTGAAAAAAGGAACTATTGAGGGACAGAGAAAGAGGCGACAGACTGGCCCAGAAGTGGTGGGGTCTACCAAAGCAGTCAGTGCCCTCGTAGGAAAGAAGGTCACAGAAAGCGTCCACCAGAAGTAGTAAAAGGAGGGTTTTGCCCTATACTTTCAAGTAACCAAAAAAGCTGGAGACACCATCAGCCCATCTTACGATGGTTTCTTTCCCTTTCCCCCGCGGAAGGAAGCCTCTCCATACTGGGAATCATTTTTGTTCTTTTTGATGGTGATGGTGGGCACTCCGGCTTGGACTTCAGATCAGGTTGAGCAGGGCACAAAGAGCCACCAGGGAGAAACAAGGAGAGAAAACAGCAGTCCGTGGTCTGCTTCCCTTGGTATCTTGAGTAAGGAGAAGGATGGGGAGATAGCAGCATGTCTCCCATGTTAGAAGTACAAAGCTAGAGGAAAACTTAATTAGATCTTTCCCGCGGCAAAAGGGTGTCAGTGAATGGGGGATCTGGAGGGATATAGGCAGGCCTAGGGAAGAGGTGAAGCACAGTACAGCCTGCTGTGTTGATAAAGTAATGTGAACAGTGCCTGAGCCATGAATCGGTCCATAACGGTGATCAGCTTCATCGTTAGCAAGGATGCTCAGAAAGTGTTGTTGGAAGAAGGCCGCATTACACCCGAGACTTTATGCAACCCTAAGCTATTCACATCTCACACCCTTTTTGGCTAATCTGAGTCCAGCACAACAGCAGCGCAAACACACACACACCCAAAGAATGGTGGCATTACACCACTGCGGGGTACCTCATGTAATACACAAGTATCTTCCTCACCAGCATCGTTATCAGTGCACTTCTCTTTAATGGATTGGATTGGTGCATCTAGGGCCAAATCATTAGGACGCCACACCTCCTGCTGACCAATAAGGGATCTTAACATCGGAGACACCATTGGGGGCTCTTGAGAGGAGATGGCTGCCTGCAGGGTGTGCCCATGTCGTTAGACTCACAGTTCCACCCCACCGTAAGAAACAGAGTCCTGAATCTAGGTTTCTGCTGCGTAAGCTTAGCATTACATTCCAAGGGTGGCTATTGCTTTGTGGTCCTTCTTCACCAATCCTGCGCTAATCTTATCAACCTGTGTGTCTCTTGTAGGTGTCAGGTGGGAAGTCCAGTCGGGAGATTCCAACCAAATGGTCCACATGAACGTCCTCATTACGTGTGTTTTTGCTGCTTTCGTCCTTGGAGCCTTTATCGCAGGGGTGGCCGTTTACTGTTACCGGGATATATTTGTGAGAAAGTCGCGGAAGATACACAAAGATGCAGAATCGGCTCAGTCTTGTACAGATTCGAGTGGCAGTTTCGCCAAACTGAACGGTCTCTTTGACAGCCCCGTCAAAGAGTATCAGCAGAATATCGATTCACCCAAGCTGTACTCAAATTTGCTAACCAGCCGGAAAGATCTGCCCCCAACAGGCGATACCAAGTCCATCATGATGGTAGACCACCGAAGTCAGCCACCGGAATTGGCTGCCCTTCCGACCCCTGAATCAACACCGGTGCTGCAGCAGAAGACGCTACAGTCCATGAAGAGTCAGGCAGACAAAGCGTCTCAGAACAACCTCAGTGCTTCTAGAAAAGACACCCCTCTGAAGAGTCCTCAGTTTTTTCCGTCCAGCCCACCACCCCATTCGCCTTTAAGCCATGGGCAAATTCCCAGCGCCATCGTTCTCCCAAACGCCACCCATGACTACAATATGTCCTTCTCAAATTCCAATGCGCACAAAGCCGATAAAAAGATGCAAAACATGGACCACCCGCTGACAAAATCGTCGAGCAAAAGGGACCACAGAAGGTCCGTTGACTCCAGAAATACCTTGAATGATTTCCTGAAACATTTAAACGAAACACCCAACAACCCCAAAGCCATTATGGGAGACCTCCAAGTGGCCCACCAGACTTTAATGCTGGACCCCATGGGAAACGTGACGGAGATCCCTCCCAAAGTCCCAAACCGGGAAGCGTCGCTGTATTCTCCTCCCTCTACTCTTCCACGAAACAGCCCCACAAAACGGGTGGATGTTCCCACCACGCCCGCGGCGCCCATGGCCTCTTTAGAACGACAGAGGGGCTACCACAAAAATTCTTCACAGAGGCATTCTATATCAGCCCTGCCTAAAAACTTAAACTCGCCCAGCGGTGTGCTGCTCTCCAGGCAGCCCAGCATCAGCCGGGGAGGGTACATCTCCCCTGCCCCCCCGGGCACAAAGATGGACTACATGCAAGGGACGCCGGCCAGCGTCCACCTGCAGCCTTCCTTGTCGAGGCAAAGCAGTTACACCAGCAATGGGACCCTTCCCCGGACAGGAATAAAGCGGACACCCTCCCTAAAACCGGACGTGCCCCCCAAACCCTCCTTTGCCCCCCAGGCCCCTTCGGTCAGACCCCTGAACAAGTACAGTTACTGACCCTTGCCGTCTTGTGTCAAGAGCAGCAGGGGAGGCAGTGCGGGAACAGACCTTGGGGCAGAGACTCGCTCGTTGCAAGCGCAAAGAGACCCAACGGTTTGGGACTCCAGCGACCTCTCGTTCCGCCAGGGGCCGAGCCAACAGCCAGGGTTCGCTGGCCGTTAACACTTTGGGAAGAAAAAGAAAGAGCTGGCCGTCCTTTGTTTTTCGTTCGGAGCCAAGGAGACCTGTAGCACAAGGGGGGGGGAAGGGGCCACCCGAGACCTTGGGGAGGAAAAGGAGGTGGAACGAAGACGCTCCGTCAGCAGAAATACTTGAAAACAATACCAACAACAGCAACAATAATAATAATAATACTGGAATGGGATTTGGTTCCTAGACTGCCACAATGTGTAGTCTTCCCATGAAATGTGAACCTTTTAATATGTATGCATTCACCTTGCCTCTTGCACAAATATCAGAAGACGATGACTCCGTATGTGTGTTGGTTCATGAGCAACTTGCCGAACCTTGATCTCCAGTCCAACTGTAGCATTTCCCCCCCCCCCTTTCCTCTAAAGAGGAACATTTTGTGGACAAACGGGCGAGAGTGAGCTGTGTGGTGGTGGTGGTTGTGTGTGGGTGTGAATGAGCCAGAAAACCGAGGGAGGAGGTATTCGATCTTTTAACTGCATCTTTTAACCTATAGAAAATGTTTACATTTGAGCATGACTGAACAAACCGCTAGCTCCAGGCTGGGTTGTTTTTGAGGTGCACGAGAAGAGGAGGGGTCCAGCTCATGAGGGAGGTTTCGGGCTGCCAGATTTCCAGACAAAATGGCAAAACAACGCAAAGGGTTTTCACTTGAAACCGGGCTGCTATCGAGGCAAGATTCCTGCATTCAGATTGCAGTGCCCGCGTGGTTTCCATTTGGGACACAGTGGGCTCCTCTTTGGTCCAGTTTACGGCTGGTTTATTGCTCAGTCCCTTTAGGAACCGTTGGGAATGAGTGGTCCCTCCTCCTCACCCAGAACAGGGAGCTTAATGCCTGTCCCCCTGGGCCTTTCCCCGTTTACCGCCACCACCACCACCGCCCCGGGACAGTTCAAGCATACTCATTTTAAGACACACACACCCCTCTCTTACCAAAAAGCAGGGAGCAAAGCTGAGCCAACCAAAGGGTAGCAGGAAAAACAACAGCAAAAAAATATTTGTAAACAAAAAGCTGTTTTGAGAAGGTGGTGGTGTCCCCCCCCCCGACATCAATCAAATGCGAAGTAAAGGAGCACAACTATCATTTGTCTCTTGGCATAAAGTACGGTAAGTTGCACGAAAACAGAGGCCAAGGAGGGGCCAGCATTGCCTTTACATGTCCAGCCGCTGCTCCTGCCATCCATCCTAGGGGGCACCCTCGTAGCCCTTGGAGAACAGGAGATGCAGAATATGTGTAAAAAGCCGTGCCGGTCTCAAAGAGAGGGGGTAAATGTGGAAATTGTGCTATGCCTCCCCCCATTCCCAACAGGCCTTTGCAGCAGAAACGAAGAAGCACCAGTGGGCTGGCCAAAGGGGGGGGGGGCGGGTGGCCTGCCCATGACCTGTTTTATGCGTAGCTGGTGGTTTCTCCAAAGTCATGCTGGTAATGACAATGTGATGTAAATATTCTGTGTGAGTTTACCTGGATCTGTGCATTTTGTGCCTTATTCATGAGAATGGTTTTATTTTTCTGAAGGGGGGAAAAAAGAAACACTATTAAAACTCTGCCAAGTGTTCTCAGTAACAGCCCATCGGAATTCCCCAAACGCCAGTTGTACGTTCTCTCCTCAGTATCCAGAAAGATGAAAGAAAGAAGGGGGTGGGGGAAGATCATCATGAGAGCGATTAATTGAACAGCACAAAGGCAGCCTATAAGCCAAGGAGACAGCGGCATTAAATCAACCTTGCCGTGCTAAACATCCCGCCCCACCCGCCTTGCTTAGCGATCAAACAGGTGTCCTGTGTGAAATGGTAGGAGGTTTCTAGACTGATGGCGCCCCTGCCAGAGAGTCCCAAGGAGTGGGGTTGCTCTGGCAGGCACCAGCATCCGGTGGTCCATTCCAGGTGGTGCTCTTAGCGCCCTCTCCGCCCACCCGCCTCGTGGGTCCCCGAGTGCTTTTTGGGCGCCTCTCGGCCACGGGGGAATATTCAGAACAAGCGCCTTCAGCACAGAACACTGGTTTCTCTTCTGTGTCAAGAACAAAAAAGATGCTCCTCTCTTTCTCTTGAAAACAAAAGGCATCTTTCTTCATTCATATAGAGAATTAGTCCCCTTTTCCATGTCTGTGTGTTGACCATTCAGGACTTTTACCTCCCCACCCCTACAGCAACAACAACAAACAACCCAGTATTTTTTTTCCTTAAAAGACATTTCAACTAATAATTAATTTTTTAAAAAAAGAGAGAGAATCAAATTATAAACCTGAATTGACTTTACAAATATTAATGAATAATACATATTTGTGTGAAACCGAAACATAAATGTTACGTGAACCCAAATAACTTCCTGTAACAATGTGCTGCCTTGTTAGATGGTATTGTGCGTCCTTCTCCGTATTTATGTTCGAACTCCTAACATTCAACATAGTCTCTATTCTGTTAATTTATTTTTTTTGTTGGGTTTTGGGTTTTTTTCCTTAAACATGCTTTATCCATTTGTGCAAAGGTAAATGCAGATTGTATCTTTTTTAATGGTACAGCTTAAAAAAAAAGTAACCCTTAAGAAAGTGGCTCTATATGGTCTATAGAGTGCTTTAACATGTATAGATATCTTGTAAACTTGTATTGTGGATGTGTAAATAATATGTTCTTTGGGTTTTTAACACCGCATGTAAAGTCAGAATAAACTATTCAAAATAAGAACCACCACCTGGCTCTTGATTGTGCAACCAGAAGCCATGCGCATCCCAGACCCAGGATGTGCCAGCTCCCGGAGAAAGCATGGAAACTGGTCCAGACCTCCAGTTCACTGTTCCTTCTCCAGGGCGGCTGGACCCAGGTAGAGAGAACCGAACCATCCACTGAGGGAAGTGTTGGGAGGCTGGTCCACCAGGGGCGATAACAGCCCTCTTGAGTTGCTGAGGAAGGCTCTAGAACCCACCCAGGTTGGCCGAGAACACGCTAGCTTCCACAGCCCTCTGCTCTCATGCTGAAGGAGAAAACACAAGGGTCTGGAGGCTGCTCTCGTTGGGTGACCGCTGCATATCATCCATACGTGCAGGCTACCCAACCCGAGTGGGTTGACTGACGTGGGGAGAGACAACGTGGGTAAAGCAGTCTCGCTCCTACACACATGCACGCTGGTATTTCTGTTCTCAGTGAAGTACTGAAGGGGGCGAGGGGGGTTCTGGATCCGTCTCCAAGAGGAGCACTTTTCTAAAGATGCATCCGTCATCATGACTGCTTTGAACTCCAGCCCACTAACAATCTTAGACTTGGTTTGGCCTTTGTTGAAGCATGGCCGCATCCTGCTACCCTTTATAGAAAAGCACAAGTCCTCCTTCAACGCCAACATATAACCAAAATTACCCTGGGAATCATCCCCATTGAACTCGCATTGCACTTACTTCTGACTGCGTGATTTCTTTAATTTGATTTTGTTTCTCTGGGGAGCATTCTCTCGTTTCATCACTGTCTCTCCCTTTTCCAGTGTTATTATTCCTGAAGCTGGCAACCGGCATGCCAACATCTCCCTTACAGAGCTAATATGTATTTGAAATTAAGAAAATACACTGAAATTGTGTGAGGCCGTTAGGACTCATTTCAACCTAGGCTCACTTAAACCATTCATAACCGACTGTAAGCAGAAATATATTTTAATACTCAGTCATTCAGGCGATGCCCTGTCGTGGCTGCCTGTGAGTTGGCTGCAAGGGAACCATTAAGGCCTTTGACTCAATGACTATTAAGGGACTCATTAATATGTGGGCAAATGGCCCTGATAGACGACAAATGCTATTACTCTGTATCAGGTTATTGTGACAATCTAGGTAACCGGAAAGTTTAAGAAAGGGTTGCAGCCCATCCAGTTACATCTGAATACATCTCAACAGTTTGGAATCATCCCCATCATTTTAGAACTGCAGAGCTGGAAGGGACCCTCTGACTTGGCAGCCGGATGCCCAAACTACTGGTGTGCTTTGGTTTAAGGAATTCCTTGCGTTACTCACTAGTGCCTTACTTTGGGCATCCTGGGTAGTATTACTACTGCTCAAGTATTAGCGGGGGTGGGGGGAGAAATAAAGGGGGATCGTATCCAATTCTGGCTCGTGCCCACTTCTGATCCAGCGCCCTGAAACTATTTGTCCTTCACTTGCCGTGTAGTATGCCTCAGAGAAGGGCATCAAACTTAGGAAAACCCTTACAAAAATGCCCCCTACACATGCACACAGAGAAAACAAAACAAAGCAATAAATCTGTTGCCCTGCATCATCTGGTGATGCATCATCATGCACAGGAATTGACCAATATGGGTGTCAAGTCTCCTCTTCCTGCATCTGACAGCTCTTGGAAGAAATCTTTGTTTCTGTTTAGGAAAATGGGGAAGGAGCAACTGTAAAGTACTCTGACCCAAAAAATATTTTTAAAAAAAATAAAAAGGTTAAGATGACGTAAATCATATAAACATTTCAATTAGGTTTGTTAAGAAAGTTATTACTTGGTAATTGAATAACAGCAGACTGCAAAGGATCACTTAGTGAGCCTTAATAAGTATGTAACAGAGAACGCTACCTCCTTGTGTAATTCCATCAGCAGTAAACTACTGTAATTAGATTCTTACTAACAAACTCAAATTGCTAGGAATGTTCAGCCAGATAATTGCCGTTTAGGAAGGTACCTGGAGATCGTCCTTGCCATATTAATTAACATAAACACTAAATGACAGTTTAAAACCTTAAGTGTTTTTTTAAAAAGAACCTGACACCTCTGTAATCTGGGCAAAGGGCAATTAAACTCTAAAATGCCACCCAAAGAGGCCAGGACAGGCAGGGCGAGGAGGTGGCGGCTTTTGGACACTCACATTGGGAACAGCTGACTGCAGAGCTCCGGGCTCAAATGACCCAAAGAGGCCAGGACAGGCAGGGCGAGGAGGTGGACACTCACATCGGGAACAGCTGACCGCAGAGCTCCGGGCTCAAACGAGGGCGAGAAAGACCGTGGCTGCCCTTCGCTCTCCTCCTGATCTTTGGGTGAGGACAAGACCGCCTTGCTCCACACACACAGCATGGCCAAGTCGCTTACCAGGTCCTGGAGAACCAGTGGAAGCTTTGTGGCATGGCCACGCTCCCCGGGGTGGTCTCCAGGCAGGGAGAAGAACCTCAAGGTGAGCCACACTAGTGGAGAAGGAAGCCTAACGCTACTCTGTGCGGACAACCAATGTCCTCCTCCCAGGGAGCACCTCGGTCATTCGGAGAAGGAATGAAACAGGCTGGAAGCCTGCAAGGTGACTCATATTGTTATGCACCGGCCATCGTGAGAAAGATGCTCCGAGAGCAGCAGAGACATTACTCAAGTGTCTTGGAAGACATGTTGCCCTCTGCATGCAAGACAAGAGAGACCTTCCGGAGGAACACAGCTGGAACCCAAAGAGCCATCTGTCACGAGGCTCAGAAGCTTTCAGAAAGGAGCCAAAACTTCTGTAGAGGAGAGAAAAAAAGGGGGTGCCTGCCCAGAATCTTCCAGGAAGTGGGTCTTGTATTGATGGATAAACTAGGTCTCAAAGATCGTCCAGGTGGAACGTTGGTTCCCCTGTATGCGCCTGACTGTGTGCTAACAATAGCAATAACCCCTCCAAACATCACAAGTCTTAAATTGGTGCCAATAGCAATGTGTGGCTGGCGCGCGCGCACACACACACACACACACCAGCTTTTCTGGGGTTATTTAAAAGGGGGGAAAAGATAGCTCCGTGCTAAAATAAGAAATAAATGCAGAATTCTGAGGGATGACATAAACCCAAAATGTTAGATTGATGGGGAAAGAAAATGAAAGAATGAAGAACAAAAGTGAGTCGAGGAACGAGTACCTGTAAATACAACGGAATGCTTTTCAGCCATATAGAAGCGGCTTCAAATATTACTAAGAGAACAGGTGGATGGCTCAGAAAACAGATGTGTGTGGGGCTTTTAAAAAATAATAATGGAGAGTTAATTTAAATTCCCAAGATCAAAATGCATTAAAATTCAGGAAGAGAGAACCAGGGAGGAAAACAATACATTGTAAGCAAGCAACAAATAAGCAACTTTGATATTTAATGATGAGAGCAGCTTTCAACTTGACAGCCGCTCTGCGCAGCCTCTAGCTCACGAGTGTGTTGCAGAGCTGTTGTGTGTGTGTGTGTGTCTATGTGTCTGTCTGTCTGTGTGCACGCGCACATTTCCGTTGGTGGGATGGCAGTCCATGGGGTAAATCTTCCCCATTTGCAAATAAAATAGTTGGGAATCAAACGCCTGAAAATTTGCCAATGTTGTCCAACGGTTTTGAAAGCAAGAAACAGGATAAAGATTTGGGCTCATTCTTAGTTCCTTTTGTAGGTCTTGAAGGGGTGTCTTCGTTAAAGCGGAAGGGAAGGAGACCACGTGGCTTTGGGCTGCAAAACTGAAAACATTTGAATGATTTCAAAGGAGCCAAAAGTGACTCTCTTAGTTGCTTCTTCGACAGGAGAAGTCATATGTTTTCCAAACTGCCACAGCAGTTCACTATTTTGCAGGGCCCTGGCATTTTTGCTATCACTAACTATTCTTTTAAAAAACACATTTCCAAGCTCCATTCAGACCCAAGACCTCTGCAGACCTGGATGGAGCTACTGCTCAACGAC